AAGTTGAAGCCAGGAGCCATTAGGTCAGCTAACAGGGAACCTACATATAGGGGTAAATACATGGGTTTTTAGAGGGCACTGGCAAATTGTTTCACAGTTGATCAAAGGCCTTAAAAATGATCATTCTCTAAACTTTCTGGATGAAATCACAATTAAAAGAAAAAAAAAATCATTCTCTGAGTCATTAATTCTACTCTTAGGAAAGAGTAACCTAAGAAAATAATTAAGAGTGTGCGGAAGTTTAGGAAAATCATGTTCACTAAGTTGTTGTTGACGTGAGTAAAAATGAGAGACGGTGTCAGAGTCCAGAGTTGGGTGAGCACCTTGTCGGTGCCCACTCTGTAATATCATGTGTCTGAACCTTGCTAGCATTCAGGCAGCAAACATTGATTGAACACCTACTGTGTGCCAGGCAATATGTAGGGCCCTGGGGATATGGAGGGACTACAACAAACACTCTCTGTGGAGCTCACATCCTCTTTGACCCAAAAGATGTTCATCATGTTCAGTTCTTAGAAGAAAGTACAGAATGATCCTGTGTTGTTGTGTCAAGTCAGCTCCAACTCATGACGACCCTGTGTACAGCAGAATAAAACACAACCTGGTCCTGCGCCATCCTCACAATCCTTGCTATACTTGAACCCATCATTGTAGCCACTGTGTCCATCCATCTCGTTGAGGGCCTTCCCCTTTTTCACTGACCCTCTACTTTATCAAGCATGATTTCCTTCTCCAGAGAATGTTCCCGTCTGACCACATGACCAAAGTAGGTGATACAAAGTCTGGCCATTCTCATTTCTAAGGATCATTTTGGCTGCACTTCTTCCAGGACAAATCTGTTTGTTCCTTCTAGCAGTTCATGGTACTCTTGGTATTCTTCACCAACACCACATTTCAAAGGCATCAACTCTTCATGTGTCAAGCATTCACATGCATATGAGGTGATTGAAAATACCATGGCTTGGGTTGGTACACCTTAGTCTTCAAAGTGACATCTTTGCTCCTTAACATTTTTAAGAGGTCTTTTGCAGCAGATTTGCCTAGTGCAGTATGACATCAGATTGCTTGACTGCTACTTCCATGGGTGTTGATTGTGGATCCAAGTAAAATGAAATCCCTGACAACTTCAGTCTTTTCTCCATTTATCATGATGTTGCTCATTGGTTTAGTTGTGAGGATTTTTGTTTTCTTTATATGGAAGTGTAATCCATACTGAAGATTGTAGTCTTTGATCTTCATCAGTAAGAGCTTCAAATCATCTTCACTTTCAGCAAGCAAAGTTGTGTCATCTGCATATTACAGGTTGTTAATGGTTCTTCCTCCACTCCTGATGCTTCATTCTTCTTCATATGGTCCAGCTTCTCACATTTTGTGCTCAGCATACAGTTTGAATAAGTATGATGAAAGGATACAACCCTGACACACACCCTTCCTGATTTTAAACCATGCAGTATCCCCTTGTTCTGCTTGAATGTCAGCCTCTTGGTTTATGTACAGGTTCCTCATAAGTACAATTAATGTTCTAGAGTTCTCAGTATTCACAATGTTATCTATAATTTATTATGTTCCACACAGTCAAATGCCTTTGCATTGTCAATAAAACACAGGTAAACATCTCTCTGGTATTCTTTGCTTTCAGCCAATATCCATCTGACATCAGCAGTGACATCCCTTGTTCCACATCCTCTTCTGAATCTGGCTTGAATTTCTGGAAGTTCCCTGTCAATATATTGCTGCAACTGTTTTTGAATTATCTTCAGTAGGATTTAACTTGTGTGTGATATTAATGATATTGTTTAAGAAATGCCACATTCTGTTGGATCACCTTTCTTTGGAATGGGCATAAATATGGATCTCTTCCAGTTAGTTGATCAGGTAACTGTCTTCCAAATTTCTTGGTGTAAACAAGTAAGCGCCTCCAGTTGAAACATCTCAGTAGGTCCTCTGTCAATTCCTGGAACTTTGTTTTTTGTCAGTTACTTCAGTGCAGATTGGACTTCTTCCTTCAGTAGCTTTGGTTTTTGATCATATGCTACTTCCTGAAATGATTGAATGTTGACCGATGCTTTTGGATACAGTGACTTTGTGTATTCCTTCCATCTTCTTCTGATGATTCCTGCATTGTTCAGTATTTTGCCCATAGAATCCTTCAATATTGCAACTTGAGGATTAAAATTTTTCTTTAATTATTTCAGCTTGAGAAATGCTGGGCGTGTTCTTCCTTTTTTGGTTTTCTAACTCCAGGTCTTTGCACATTTATTATAATAATTGACTTTGTCTTCTCAAGCTGCCCTTTGAAATCTTGTGTTCATCTCTTTTATTTCATCATTTCTTCCATTTCCTTTAGCCACTGTCCTTTCAATAACAAGTTTCAGAGTCTCTTTGACATCCATTTTGGTCTTTTCTTCCTTTCCTGTCTTTTTAATGACCATGTGCATTCTTCATATATGATGTTCTTGATACCATCTCACAACTCATCTAGCTTTCAGTCATTGGTGTTCAGTGCATCAAATCTGTTCTTCAGATTATCTCTAAATTCTGGTGGGATATAATCAAAATTGTTTTTTGGCTGTCATGGATTTGTTTTAATTTTCTTCAGTTTCAGCTTGAACTTGCATATGAGCAATTGATGGTCTGTTCCACAATCAGCTCCTGGCCTTGTTTGACTGATGATATTGAGCTTATCCATCACCTCTTTCCACAGATGTCATTGATCTGATTCCTGTGTATTCCATCTGGCATGGTCCATTTGGATAGCCACAGTTTGTATTGTTGAAAAAAGGTATTTGCAATGAAAAAGTAATTGATCTTGCACAATTCTGTCATACCAACTCTGGCATCATGTCTATCACCAAGACCGTACATATTTTCCAGCCACTGATGATTCTTCTTTGTTTCCACCTTTGACCTTTCAGTCACCAGTAATCATCAATACATCTTGATTGCATGTTTGGTCAATTTCAAACTGCAGAAGTTAGTAGAAATCTTCAACTTCTTCATCTTTGGCTTTTGTGGTTGGTGTGTAATAATAGTAGTACTTATTGGTCTTCCTTGTGGGCATATGGATATTATACTATCACTGATAACACTGTACTTCAGGATAGATGTTGAAACATTCTGTCTGACAATGAAGGCTATGCTGTTCCTCTTCCTTTTTGATCCTGTGTTAACAAAACATAACTATATGTATAAATATATACAAAATCTGGCAGCTTCTACAAGAGAATGCTAACCACAGTTTTCTATATAGCTGGAGGGTTTATTGCTAGTATTAATGTTTTTATCTTGATGATCACCTCTGTTTTATATGTATTTTAACAAAGATATTACAGGTAGGGAAAAATGCTATTCGTAAGGCATTCACTCTTCCATTCCTTCAAGTTTTTAACCTGGGCCCATAGACATTCAGGGCACCAGATTTTAAGTGTGCTCTTAGGGCTCCTGGTTTAAAGTATGGGTTGTGAGCCATACCCCAGACCCACTGAGTGGGAATCTCGGAGGTGAAGTCCAGGAGTTGCCTGTTCAACACTGAGATTTTCGTGCTTCTGACCTCTGAGGATCATCGCAGGGTTGAACAGTAGAGTATCTGAGTCTTCAAGGACTTACCTCAGCTACAGGGTTTTTCCCAGGTTTCCAGAGAGTCAGGTTTCAAAATGGTTCACAAAGCCCTGCCCTGTCCTCTGTAAAGCACAGCATAGGCAGGACAAGAGGGGGAAGGAGCAAGCCAGGGACCATGAATGTTCTGTATATTCCCTGCCCTTTCACAGAAGGTAAGCCCAAGGACCGTGCACTGATATGGCTGTGAGACTCAGGTTAGAACCCACAGGCCTCAGTTTCTGTATTGCTTTTAGCTCCGTCGTCTCCAAACTAAGATTCTAGAAAGCAGTAATGGAAGGGTCCATGAGCTTCTGTTAGCACTGCAGAAGCCCCAAGAGAATTCACGCTTTCCTGAGTGATATTGGCAGCTTTGAGCCAGCATTCTATCAGCCTAGTGTTTGATTCCAGTGACCTCATGCTTATCAGAAGCTGATTCATCTCCTCTCCATTCATGCCCCGTCCACTCATCCTTTCATCCATCCATTCATTCAATAGGCATCTGCCACTGTGCACTCTGTACCAGGCTCTGTGTAGGGCTCTGGGGACATAGAGATGAGTAAGACTCAGTTTCTGCCCTCAGCAGCCTCCCCGGTCCAGTGAGGTGGGAGATAAGAGAGTTACAGTGAAATATGACAGGACTACACTGGAGGGAAGTGCTCAGCTGCTAACTGAAAGGTCAGCAGTTCGAACCCACCAGCCTCCCCATGGGAGAAAGATGTAGCAGTCTGCTTCCGTAAAGATTTACAGCCTTGAAAACCCTATGGGGCAGTTCTACTCTGTCCTGTGAGAGAGCTATAAGTCAAAGTTGACTCAGCAGCAATGGTTAATGGACAGTGGAAGGAGAATTTATTTTTCATGAATGGAAAATGGAGAAAGAAATTAATCAGTTCTTTGTAGATCCAGTTTTTCTAGTAGGTAGACTCTTTCTGGTGAAAATTTAAACTCGGTTTGTTTGAAAAGTTAAAAAAAAAATCCAGAGGATGCATAATTAAAAGTAATCTTTCTCAGATTCTGTCTTCATCCCCAGATGAAGTATTAACACTACTAATAATTTCTTGGGTATCTTTCCAGAAAAGTCTCATATATGTTCATACATATATGTAGGAAGAATCTCCCCCTGCCCCCAGTACATGGAAAACTGTTATCCATCCTATTCTGTAACTGAGTTCTTTTCACTTAACAATGCCTCTTGGAGATTGATGGATTGATGGAAATTTGGGATGTTTCCAGAATGTTAATATTATAAGCAATTCAGGAGTGAAGATCCTGACAGGTAGAATCTTTCTGTTCCCAGTATCCAAGGGGAGAATATGTGAAAATGTGGGGAATAATTCCCCTGGTGATAAATGACATGGAAAGAGCTGCTCATATCCCACCTTCATTTTGCATGTTCTTTCCTGCAGCCCTTGCCTCGCATGACTACATCCTGAAGATCGTGCCCACGGTTTATGAGGACAAGAATGGCAAGCAGTGGTACTCTTACCAATACACGGTGGCCAACAAGGTGCGTAGAGCCCTAGGTGGGCCTAGCTGTGTGCAATCGTGCCCTCTGCTGGTGGAGAGCAAAGGTGACAAGTGGCTGGTTCCATTTCCTCTGGTCCTCTTCAGGAGGCATTTCATGGCTGCTGTGTACAGCCAGCCTCTGTTTCTGGATAGAGATGGAAGACCCAGCCCCTGCCCTCAAGGTAGTCTCCGAGTCAAGGAAATTAAAAAAAAAAAAAAAAATCTAACCAGGACATAGGACATAGGTGTGATCTATTTGAGGAAGAGCAGGCAGGTGGCCTCCCCGAAATGTTCCAGGGGTTGCAAGCATCTCCACAGCCTGCACCTGGCCTGATCCTTCACATTCAGAACCTGATTGCTCATTACCAGAGAGTTTCTCAAGCTCTCAGGCACAAGCACTTCACCTAAAATCACAAGACAAGGGAATCTCACTGGGATGGCCATTGATCATATTTGGCTGTTGACAGTCCCAAGAACCAACACACAGCATCCTGGAGGAGCAGGCAGGCCTCCATGGAAAGCAGAACATGGTCAGAGCCAGTGGAATGGGAGGACCCAATAATTGTGGCTTCAAACCAAGCTTCCCCAGAGAAGACACTGCCAATGGGACATGAATGCCCAAAGTCCATTGGTAGAGGTGTCTTCACTAGCCCCTGGCAGATGTCATTGCCCACTTTTACCACCAGAAGTCTCCTTGTCTTCTATTTTAAGACTTTAAGTCATATATTACTTAGCTCAATTAATTATAATAATAATAACAGCAAGAGGAGGAGCTATCATTTATTGAGTACTTATTCTAGGTTAGGCATCATGCTAAACTCCCTATGATTCTTTTTGAATCATCATGACAGCTCTGAAATGGAAGCTACTATTGTCCCCATTTTACAGATTTGGCCACTGAGGCAGAGGGAGGTGATTGTAGAGCTATAAAGTAGCCTAGTAAAGATTGGAAGCAGGTTCTTTTTGGGCTTCAGAGCCTGGACTCTTGATCACAACATCATCTACTCATTCCTAGCAAGAGCCCATTGAGTCTGCCAGCCTGGGAACCACTCTTTCTTGGTGACTTTTTGTCTGTTTGCTGTGATCCACCTGGGTTGATGGTCTAATGTAACTCTCCTAGGGCAGTCCTCTCTTTTATTCACTGTTTTTTTGGAACCTTGAGGGCTGATAACGTACAATAGTTGAGAGAACATGATTGCAGGGTGAGCAGAAAGAACATGAGTTCTGGACCACACAACCTGGGTTTAGGCCTCAACTCAGTCTTTCACTAGCTGTGTGACTTGTCCCAAGTCACATAACCTCTCTGTGCCTCAGTTTACTTACTTTATTTGTAAATGGGAATATTACCCACCTCATAAGCCTGTAGTCATCAAATGAGGCAATGTTTTCAAACCTCCTGGTACCTACTTCTATTTTTCCTTCTTTTGTCTCTCCCTCAGCTCCATACCATGACCCAGACAGTCTCCCTGCTCTATCAGCTTTCCCTGGAGAAAGCTGATCTTTCCTTCCCCAAGGCTTTGCCAAGGGCCCAGAGGCCAGAACAGCTTGCTCAGCTTTTTCTGTGGCTCCAGCCTACACTAGAAACAACACTGCACACGTCAAGCTGGTGGCAGTCCAGCTGGGCGGTCAAGTCACCTTGTCATCTATCTGAGCACAGGTCCTAGCACTGGGGGCTGAGGGTGCCCCAGTGGTTTGGCATGGTCCACACTGTTGCAGATTAGTGAGGACAGCCTGGGGGTTTTCAGTACTCTGAAGTGTCCAAACCAGAGAGGTTCCATGGGTCATCATCCCAGACCCCTGTACACTTAGGTGCAGAGAGACTGGCCCAAAGCACACTGTAAAGTCAGCTCCTCAGCATCCTTTAAGTACCTGCTGTGTGTGTCCCAGGGAAGGACTGTGGGAGAGCTGTGTCTTCTGGCTCCCCAGTTTGGTTTTGGGGGATTTTTTTTTTTTTTAAGGAAGTTCACTTCCCACCATGGCCTTTATACCCATCTGGCACGCATGCACACATGTACGCATATGTACTCACACACACCTTGCAGGACTCCTGCGTATCCCTCACATGTAGCTCAGAATGGCCCCTCATTGGTAAGTCTTCTACCTGCCCCTGAGGAGAGTTGGGCTTTCGTTCAGGCTCCCTCAGCTTTCTGCATCCTTCTATCACCACTATCACCATATGTATACTGTTGCCACGTTAAGGGTATTCTTATGTTTGTCTCCTTCACACAGCAACCCCCTCTGGGGGAAGGGCAGGGTTTTTCTCCTGAGGGTCCCCAGTAGGCACCACAGGGCCAGCACAGAAGAGGCAGTCAGTAATCAGTTGCTGAATTCAATTATTAGATTTTGGGTGGCCCAGGAACTGACAGGTATAAAAAGAAGAAAATAGGCCTTTACTCAGACTGATCCAAAATCACACTTTCTCCTTTTCTGTCTCTGCTCTCAGACTTACATTTTGAATCTTGGGCTGCTTACAGTTCGTAGGGGTCCATTTCCAAGTAGCAAAGGGGCAAAAATGCACCACCAGATAGATGTTGCCCATTCAGAAACCAGAGGGCAGAGAGGCCTAGAACCTGGGGGGATGGGGACATTGTGGGTGGAATCTGCTCCCTGTGCTGCAGAGAGGGAAGAAAGCCCATTCTTGAGGGTTGCTGTGGGACCCTCCTGAATCCACCCCCACCCCCACCCCCTACACTGTGAGACAACATGTGCCTCTGCTTCTCACGCTCCTCCCTTTTTCTTCCTTCTCCCCAGGAGTACGTGGCCTACAGCCACACGGGTCGCATCATCCCCGCCATCTGGTTCCGCTATGACCTCAGCCCTATCACAGTCAAGTACACGGAGAGACGGCAGCCTCTGTACAGGTTCATCACCACGGTGAGTGGGCGAGTCCGGCCCAAAGCGCCGCTCCTGGGCTGGGGCTCAGGCTGAATACTGGAGGTCCAGCCCAAGGATGCTTAGAAACATTATCAGAATCACATTCCTGATGATAACTTAGCATCAAAAAAATATTTTCTAGAGTTAATGCCATATAATCAATTTAATCCTTTAAGCAAGTGACTCAATTAGATGTTTATGATTTTTCTCCAGGTTTATTTTAGAGAGCGAGAGAGAGAGAAAATATTCTTAGCAGGTTTTATCCTTTCTTGTGTAAACATTACAGTGAAAATTTAACTCATTTTTTCTATATCTAATTTCCAATTATAGCTGCTGATACTGATAGAATTCCTTCCTGCCTGCCTGTTCTCTTCTTTGTTTTCTTTTTCCTTTCCTTTTTCTTTTTTGCCATTGTCTCTACTGAGTCCAGTTTTCTCTGGGCAGCTTCAGCTGATGGCAATTTTTTTCTGTGCTAATTAATTTCTATCAAGTCTACTATTTCCTAGCCTCCCATTCAGAATGTCCTTGGGGCCAGAACAGGGGGGTCAGAGTGCCCAGCTTCAGCAGATCGACCTGGGACATGTTAGGTGAGTCAGAGCCAGCTGGGATGGAAGAGTCAGGGTGGTTTTTGTTACCTCACAGGCCTGCAAACTGAGGCCTGCCTACGGAATATAACATCAAAGGGCCATTACGCTTCTATACCTCTTGATACTTTTAATAATGATTCAAGACCAGGGATCCATCCAGTCCTAGTTCTTTCATTTTCTGCTGTGACTAGATGGACAGAAGAACTTCACCTCGAGCTGGCTTAAGGGGAAGGCAGGCCTTGGATGAGAAGCCCTGGTGGCACAATGGTTAAGTGCTCGGCTGCTAATTGAAAGGTCAGCACTTTGAACTCACCAAAGGCTCTGTGGGAGAAAAGAGCTAGCAATCTGCTCCCATAAAAATTATAACCCAGGAAACCCTATGGGGCAATTTTGCTCTGTCCTGTAGGATCACTATGAGTTGGAATCCACTCAAAGGCACACAATAGGCCTCAGGCATGGCTGGATCCAGGTGCAAATGTTGTTGGGAATAGGTGTCTATCTTTTGATCTGCTTTCTTTGATACTGGCTTTATTGTCAGATACAATTCACCAGGAGAAACACCTCTTTCTCGATAATTCCAGCCCAAGTCCTGGGATGCACTCTCATTGGCTTAGCTCAGCTCAGGGAATGGAGTGTTCCAGGTAGCCAGGCCTAAGTCTTGTGCCCCCTCTAGAGCCAACCCTACCCAGACCACAAGGACAAAGATTGTAAGGGATGAGGTCCCTCCAGAGAAAAGTTATGGGGTGTTACCAGGAAAAGGTGCCAGCAGGCAAAAAGATCAGATGTCCATGGCAAGGTCTGTTTCTAATCTTTGAAGAAGGAATAATAATCTCTACTCTTCCTACCTCACAGGGCTTTGAGGGGCTCACAGGAGATCATGGAAGGGGAAGTTCTTTGCAGATATAAAAAGGGTGTCACAAGTATGCTGTTTATAAGAGCCTCAGACAGCCTTTTGCTGTTCAGACTGCATAAAAATTCAAAACTATAGTTTGATAAAGGACACCTAACATAAAGTTAAAATATTAGGCACTAATTGGGAACAGAGATATTTGCCATACAGATAAGAAAGGAATAATCTTCAGAGTTTATATATGAAGCACTCTTAAAAATCAGTAAGAAAAAGTTAAGCAATTAAAAAAAGAAAAAATGGGCCAGGGCTGAAGACTGACCATTGGCCAAGGAAGAGACCTCATTGGTAGTGTAAAGATGCTCAAGGTCACTAGAAATTAGAGAAATGAGATTTGAAACAACAAGACACCACTTCAGTCCTCTCAGACTGACAGAAATGAGAAACCTGAGGGGATGCAGGGCAGCGGGCACTCAGAAAAACTACTAGTACACAGGTAAATTGTTACAGCCACTTTGGAGGGAGATGTGCAGACCCTTGGACCCCAAAATCAGGGAATCTGTGAGCGGGCAATTTTACCCAAGGCCCTCTAAGAATAGCACACTGGTAGGTCTCAGTGCTAAACCTTACTCCAGTGTTTTTCCTGCAGCATACCCAGAATAAGACAGAAACTAAGACACAGTGCATGAGTCATTGGTGATTCAGTGATAGAATTCTCTAGTCTCCTGGGTGGGAGACCCGAGTTCAATTCCTAACCAATGCGGCTCATGCGTAGCTACCACCCATCTGTCAGTGGCAGCTTGCACATTGTTATCATGCTGAGCAGGCCTCAGTGGAGCTTCCAGACTAAGTCAGACTAGGAAGAGAGGCCTGGCTGTCTACTTCGAAAAATCAACCAGTGAAAACCCTGTGAATCTTGTAGTTTGCTCTGATGTACATGGGGTTGCCATGAGTCAGGGGCAGACTTAACAACATCTATCGTCAACAATTACAAGATACAGGTAGGAGTATCCTGCCTCCAAGTGGTTGTAGCCTGCTCTTCAGAGACCCCGGGGTCTGGGCATTGACAGTGGCAGAGAAATACCCACACCCACAGCATACTGTAGGGTTGAGAAGGTTCTTCCATGTCCCCCTTCCCATTTGCTCTCTATGGTAAGGAACTAAAGCTCTGGGTGTTGAAATCCCTTGCCACATAGCTGAGAAATGAAGGGACTTAGTTTATTTAACATTTGCTAGAATTACCATGTGTCCAGCCCTGTGCTAGACCCCTGGGATAGCTGTTGCCAAGGAGGAGTACAAGTCTGGTGGGGGGCAGGGCGGGATGAATATCCAGAGTACTGCAGCCCAAAGAGGAGGAGATACTCCTCTCTATTTGGAAAGTTCGGAGAAGGAAACCCTGGGATGAGTCTTAAAGGACGAGTAGACCTTTCCTAGACTGATAAATGAAGGGAAGAGGTTCCAAGCAAAGGGAACCTGCAAGTATGTGCAAAGATGCTCAACATGGCACGTCTGGTGAAGGCCACATGGTCTCTCAATGGGGCATTGATTTCCCCCATCAGGTCAAGGTGAGCCGTTGACCTTCCTAGAGCTGGAGTTCTAGGAAGTCACAGGGAAAGGACCTGTCCTTCATTACCCAGAGGCCAAATGCCTTCATCACTTTTCTTTCTTCTCTTCTTTTGACCACCAACATTTCCTCCATCTCTGCCAGACCCAGAATGTGAGCCAGTGAAACCCTTAGTGTGTGGGCCATGCTGCAGGAGACCTTCTCTACATGGTGAAAACCAGTTGTTGTCCAGTCAGCTCTGATGGTGATCTTATGTGTATCAGAATAGAACTGTGCTCTGTAGAATTTTCAGTGACTGATTTTTCAGTAGATCACCAGGCTTTGCCAAGGCATCTCTGGATGGACTCAAACCTCTAACCTTTCGGTTAGCAGCCAAGCATGTTAACCATTTGCACAGTACAGAGACTCCCCCTACATGGTTGCCTGGTGGTTTTTCTGAAGGCCTCACGCCATCGTCTTGGTTGCCACAGCAACTGAGGGGTCAGCTCCAAGTGTGCCAGCCGGCTGTCCCTGGCAGATGGCGTCATTGTGGAGCTTCAAAGGCCTTTGTCACAAGGCAGCAGATGTGGGGATGACGCTCGCATACACAGACATATACAGCACAAAGACCCCCAGGAGCCCTCAGAGGGCGAGATAGGGACAGGATGGAAGTAGAGGCACCTGCTGTGGCTTCTCTTCCTCTTTTTAAACACTTGTGTGCAAAGGCCCGACCCCCAAATGGAGGCCTCTGCAAATAGCTCCCTAGAGGGACTGCTGAAGAGAGGACTTAGGCCAGGATGTCGTCATGTGGCGGCTGTGGGGCTGTGGAGGCAGCTGAGGGTGGGCCTGGAATGAGGAGTGGGTGTAGCTGAGTGGGCAAGGCTGTGGAGGGGAGAGGCAGATGGGGCCTCTCAGCCACATTCAGAGCCTCAAGTACCTAGCTTATTCTGGGTTGTTCCCCCCAAGGGTCTTATTGTCTAGAAAGAACTTGTTTATCCACAGCCTGAATACTCCTCCTCAGGCTGCCAGAGTTCTTCTCCCTGGCACCCAGGGCACCTCTCTCGGACCTTTGCTTTACGCTTCACTCGAAAATTCCATCACCTCTGTATGGTAATACAGGAATAAACAGATCGTATTCAACAATGTGCAAGTTAGCCCCTTCCAAGTGCCCCCCTCCCACACATCCATTTGTCCCCTGTCCCGCCACTTGCTGCAACTCCTTTTTTGAGATTGCCTTCTAGTGGGCAGTGGTGACAGATTGGATGGCTTTGGAGGTGTCAAATCACCTTCCTTGTGTGATTTATTTTAGGGGAACAGCCAGAAGTCACAAAGTGCCAAATTGGGCCAATATGCCTGTGACAGCTTTCAACCACCTCCAGAAGTTACCAGATGGGAATGGCATGCTCCCTTCCTTAAGCTGTGCAGTTCATGTTAACTTAAGTGGTGTTCAGGACCCTTGGTCAAGGCTCAACCTAGGAATGAGAGGGATTGCTGCAGTAAGACTTACCAATAGACCTTCCTCTCTACCACTGCCCCCACTCCCACTTTCTTTTGTTGTTAGCTGCTGTCAAGTCTGCCTCTAACTCATGGTGACCCTGTGCACACAGAACAAAAAGCTGCCTGGTACTGTTGTGATCCATAGGGTTTCTCTTGGCTGCTTTTCAGAAGTACATTGCCAGGCCTTTCTTCCTAGTCTGTCTTAGTCCGGAAGTGCCACTGAAACCTGTGCAGCATCATAGCAACACACAAGTATCCAATATAGATGGATGGTGGCCATGCATGAGGTACACTGGCTGGGAATTGAACTCGGATCTCCCTCATGGAAGGTGAGAATTCTGCCCCTGAACTACTGCTGATGCCTCACCCCTCTCCTTACTAGTGAGATTATCCTTAGACTCTAGATTACCTGAGCATGAGCTCCCAGATCTGATTCACCTCGTTGTCCTCAGCATCCAGCATAGGGCCTGGCTTGGACACAGGTGCTCAGAAATGTACAAGAGACAGCTGATTGAAGAACTGACAA